TACCTGCCATGTTTCTGTTTTTGTGACTGGGTTACCTCACTCAGGATGGTTTCTTCTAGTGCCATCCATTTGCCTGCAAATTTCAAGATTCCATTGTTTCTTTTTCTGCTGAATAGTACTCCATGGTGTAAATGTACCACATTTTCTCTATCCACTCTTCAGTTGAGAGGCATCTAGGTTGCTTCCAAGTTCTGGTTATTACAAATAATGCTGCTATGAACATAGTGGAACAGATGTCCTTGTTGTATGAATGTGAATCTTTTGGATATATGCCTAAGAGTGGAGTAGCTGCGTCTTGTGGTAGGTTTATTCCCATTTTTCTGAGGAATCTCCATACCGATTTCCAAAGTGGCTGTACGAGATGACACTCCCACCAGCAGTGAAGGAGTGCTCCCCTTTCACCACAACCTCTCCAGCATAAATTGTCGTTGGTGTTTTTGATTTTAGCCATTCTGACAGGAGCAAGATGGTATCTCAGAGTTGTTTTGATTTGCTTTTCCCCGATGGCTAAGGATGTGGAGCACTTTGTCAAGTGCCTCTCAGCCATTTTAGACTCCTCTATTGAGAATTCTCTATTTAGTTCTGTACCCCACTTTTTAATTGGATTACTTGGAGTTTTGGCTACTAGCTTCTTGACTTTTTTTTTGTAAATTTTGGAAATCAGCCTTCTGTCAGATGTGGGGTTAGTGAATATCTTTTCCCATTCTGTGGGCTGCCTTTTTGTCTTACTGACTGTGTCCTCTGCCTTTCAGAAGCTTCTCAGTTTCAGTATGTCCCATTTATTAATTGTTGACCTCATTGTCTGTGCTACTGGTGTTATGTTCAGGAAGCTGTCTCCTGTACCAATTCATTCAAGGGTACCACCCACTTTCTCTTCTAAGAGGTTCAGTGTGGCTGGATTTATGTTGAGTTCCTTGATCCATTTGGACTTAAGTTTTGTACAGGGTGATAGACATGGATCTATCTGCATTCTTCAACATGCCAGCATCCAGTTATGCCAGCACCATTTGTTAAAGATGCTTTCTTTTTTCCATTGTATATTTTTAGTTTCTTTATCAAAGATCAGATGTTCATACATGTATGGGTTAATATCAGAGTGTTCAATTCGATTCCAGTGGTCTACCTGTCTATTCTTGTGCCAATACCAAACTGTTTTCAGGACTACAGCTCTATAATAGAGCTTGAGGTCAGGCATGGTGATTCCTCCAGAAGTTACTTTGTTGAGTAAGGTTGTTTTGGCTATCCTGGGTCTTTTATTTTTCCATACAAAATTGATTATTATTCTTTCAAGGTCTGTGAAGAATTGTGCTGGGATTTTAATGGGGATTGCATTGAATCTGTATATTGCTTTTGGCAGGATTGCCATTTATACTATATTGATTCTACCTATCCAAGAGCATGGGAGATCTTTCCATTTTCTGAGGGCTTCTTTAATTTCTTTCTTTAAAGACTCAAAGTCATTGCGATGCAGGTCTTTATTTTGTTTGGCTAGCATTACCCCCACGTATTTTATGTTGTTTGTGGCAATTGTAAAGGGTGATGTTTCTGTGATTTGTTTCTCAGCCCTTTTATCGTCTGTATATAGTAGGGCTACTGATTTCTTGAGTTGATCTTGTAGCCTGCCACTTTGCTGAAGGTGTTATTCAGCTGTAAGAGTTCCCTGGAAGAGTTTTTTGGGTCACTTATATAAACTATCATATCATCTACAGATAGTGAAAGTTGGACCTCTTCCTTTCCAATTTGTATCCCCTTGATCTCCTTTTGTTGTCATATGGCTGTAGCTAGAACTTCAAGTAAAATATTGAAAAGGTATGAATAGAGTGGGCAGCCTTGTCTTGTTCCTGATTTTATTTAGCAGAATTGCGTTGAGTTTCTGTCCATTTGGTTTGATGCTGGCTGTTGCTTTGCTGTATATAGCTTTTATTATGTTTAGGTATGTTCCTGTTATCCCAGATCTCTCCAAGACCTTTATCATGAAGGGGTGTTGGATTTTGTCAAAGGCTTTTTCTGCATGCATCTTATCAGACCACCATGCATTAAAATTAGAATTCAACAACAACACAAATTGCAGGAGGCCTACAAACTCATGGAAATTGAATAATGCACAATCGCACCATTCCTGGGTCAAAGAAGAATAAAAAAGAAAATAAAGACTTCCTGGAATTGAATGAGAATGAAGACACAAGATACCCAACCTATGGGACACTTGAAAGCAGTGCCACATGGGAAGTTCATAGTACTAAGTGCCCACATGAAGAAACTGGAGAATAGTCACACTAGAGAATTAACAGCACAGCTGAAAGCTCTAGAACACAAAGAAGCAAACTCTCCCAGAAGGAGTAGATGCCAGGAAATAATCAACTGAGGGCTGAAATCAATAAAGTAGAAAGTAGGAAAACAATACAAATAATGCAACGAAGATTTGGTTCTTTGAGAAAATCAACAAGATAGACAAACCTTTGTCCAAACTTACCAAACATCGGAGTGTGAACATGCAAATTAACAAAATCAGAAATGAAAAGGTTGACATTACAACGGACTCTGAGGAAATTCAGAGAATCATCAGGTCATACTTTGAAAAGCTACTCCACACAATTCAAAAATTTAAAGGAAATGGACAATTTTCTGGATAGCTATCAATTGCCAAAATTAACTTAAGAACAGATAAGCAATTTCAATAGACCTATAACTCCTATGGAAATAGAAGCAGTCATCAAAAGTCTCCCAAACAAAAAAAGCCCAGGGCCAGATGGCCTCAGTGCAGAATTCTACCAGAAATTCAAAGAGCAGCTTATACCAATTCTTCTCAAAGTATTCCATGCAATAGAAGCAGAAGGGTCTTTGCCAAACTCTTTCTATGAGACTTCAATAACCTAGATTCCCAAGCCCCACAAAGGCACAACTAAGAAAGAGAACTTCAGACCAATATCCCTCATGAGCATTGATGTAAAAATACTCAATAAAATACTGGCAAATTGGATCCAAGAACACATCAAAACAATCATTCACCACGATCAAGTTGGTTTCATCCCAGGGATGCAGGGATGGTTCAACATACGAAAATCCATCAATGTAATCCACCATATAAGTAAGCGGAATAACAAAAATCACATGACCATTTCACTATTTTCAGAGTTTTATGCTTCATTTCCTTACAGATAATAGTAATTCAATTAGCGTAAAATATCTCATAATTTGAACCTAAAGTAGAATATACATGATGATAACTCAATATATATGTCCTATACAAGACATACATTTTTTTATTCCATCTTCAGTACTTTTCCTATAAGAATGAGAGTCATATCATCCTCCCGAAGATCAATAAAGTACAAGTGAAAATAATACGTGCTTAGTGGAGTGACTAAAAACCATGTCTTTGTAATGATAGCATCTATGGTGGTTTGAAAGAAAATAGCCCCCAAAGAAAGTGGCACTATTAGGATGTGTTACCTCATTAGAGGAAGTGTGTCACAGTGGGCACAGGCTTTGAAGTCTCTTTTGCTCAAGCTTCCCTCGGTGTAACTTTCAGTCAGCTTTCTGTTGCCTGCAAGATGAAGGATTCTCATCTATTCCTCCACCACCATGCCTGCATGCATGCTACCATGTTTCCCACCATAATGATAATGGACTGGACTGAACCTCTGAAACTGTAAGTGAGCCACCACAAATAACTGTTTTATTCATAAGAGTTGCCATGGTCATGGTATTTCTTCATAGCAGAAAAACCCAAACTAAGACAACATGGCTGTAGAATGTCTAAGTAATGATGAAGCTAGAAATAAAAGAATACAATTACACCACACACAGATGTACCCACTCTGTAACGACTGCTGATAGCAATGAAGACATGTTACATGCTAGACACCAGTTAAATAGAAGAAATTCTCACAAAACCTTTGATTTTAAAGTGTCCCCAAGAGTTCATGTGCTGGAAACTTTGTCTGTAATAGCAGTGGTAGAAGGTGGGATATCCTAGGAGATATTCTAGTCACAAAAGCTTCTCTTTCTCCCAATTCTAATATTTTAGGTCCACAATAATTTGCTAAACATGTTTTCTTCTAAGCAATACATGAATGTTACATATGATTGCCAAGAAAAGCTTATGAAATACATATTATTATCTAATTTTTGTTTGTTTCTGTGCATGTGTGTGTATATTATCCTATGTGTGTGAGCATTTTGATGTTGTATATTCACATGTGTGAACATGCCTATGGCCAAAAGTTGATATCAGAGTTTAACTCAATCACACCCCACATTATTTTCTGAGGCAAGGTATCTCTCTGAACTCTGACTTCCCAATGTGGTTAGTCTAACTAGTCAGTTTGTCTAGGGGATCCTTTGTCTTAGCCTCCTGAGGTAGGCCACCATATCTACCCAACCTTTTATGTGGGTACTGGGCCTCCAAACTCTGGCCCTCACATTTGTATAAGAGTGTCATCCTTCAAATCATCTCTCCAGTCCTATTATCTGATTTTAGACAAGGAACATAAAACCCAGGGAGTTTAAACAGTTTATCTTATGTTATATAGTCTATTCATAAGCATGTCTGGATTATCAAAGCCAGAGTCCTACAGCATTAAGAAATAATAGTTCCCTAATTACTCCATAAGGCCTATAATTATTCAGTCAAGCTAGTTACTGGTAAAAATTCAATAACTGATTAAAATAAATAATTATGTCTTATGAATAGATATTATTCACATTTTCAATTAATAAGAGATATGCTATGTCAGAAGTGACTGCCACATACATAGCTTAATTTTTTAACAATACCAGTTAAAATTTGTCTGATTTAACACTTCTGATGATCATACCCTAACAATCTGGTATCTTCTCATTTAGCAAACAGGAGGCAGGTCTCTGTGAGTTCCAGACCAGCCTGATATACAAAGCTAGTTTCAGGACAGCCAAGGCCACAGAGAGAAATCCTATCTCAAAACAACAACAACAACAAAAGCAAACAGAAATGGTGCATTTAAGAATTACATAATTACATAAACATCTGTAGTTTTTCTTCTTGCATGATCTTCCATCTTCCTCTGTTCCCAGACAGAGCCAACGTAACTTTGCTGGAACACTAAAGAGAAAAAAAGACATCACACCCAAGTGCCAGGATTCCTGCTGGTCTAGCCACAGCTGTTCATACAGAGTGGTTTCCCAACCCCAAGGATATACTAAATGTTTACAACACAGCTGTGTTTCATTCAAGCCTCATTTGGGATAAAGCTGAGTGAAATTGTCGTCATATAGAACTTTCAAATTAAAACATACTCATAAAGCAACCACTATGGGCAATATGCCTGTCACTCCATCTAATCATGTTTTTGATCATAGGTTGTAAGATCCTAACACTTTGCTACAAACAGTTGTGAGGAAAAGGTATTTTGAGATATCATTCATTGGGAAGATCATCAAAGTACTTACTGTTGCTTATTTTTTCACCAATGGTCTTGAATCACCAAATACCTAAATATTATCTACATTAAAAAACTCAAAATTTTAAAAAGGTATTGTTATTTCAGTAAGTAACTGAAAATACAAGATGTGCATAATGTCTAGTTAGTAACTTGAGACACATGTATCTTCTGGGTTACTAGGTTCTCCATATCCCCAACAATTTGCTAACATTAAACTTCTCTCTTCAGGGAGTTCCACTTTCCTCACTTACCTGGATCTTTGTTATGGCTGACATTTCATTCAGTGAAGTCTAATTTCCCTTCACATTAATAGTGTTTGAATAGTCATGCTGTATTTTTAAAACTCTTTAACCTTCGATTTGAGATATGAAATATTAGCTGTAGCTGATTCAGGAAGAAGAGTACACAGGAAGTGTATACTATAAAATGTGTTATTTATAATGTTCTAGTGGCTGAATGATGTGCAATTATATTGTACAGTGGTTCTTCCCAAGACAGATAGGCAGAGATATCTCAATGTAGTATCATAACCATGTGGGGACATCTAAGAAGCTAGATAATTTGATACAGAAAAACTCTGATTTTACATATGTTACTAATTTGTTTATGATTTTGATGTTTCTGGGTTCTGTTAGTGAGTCAAAAAGAAAGATAATCTATTTTTCAATATGTATCAATATATCTATATAAATTTATATTGGTCTCTGCTCCATCTTTCTACAGTATATAGATACATACATAAATACATACATACATACATTGATGGAGTGATAGATTCCCCCATCTCAACTACTATGTATATAAAAATAGATGCAGACATATGGACACAAAGGATATTAAATAAATTTTTCTTGAGGAAATGTAAGTAAAGTTCTACTCACTCCAATTATAGTGCCAAAAATAGGTCATAGGAATGATTCATCCGCTTGTGCAATGATGTAACAATGATTTTATTGGAGTGATTTACAGGAGCATGGGTGAGGATTTACCGGAGTGTGAGTAGTCAGTCAGATCACCCAAAAGTTTCACCTCAGTATAACTTAGAGGGATGACTTTCCTATAACCTGCACAGATGAAGTATAGATTTCAGTGTCTTTCTGCTTTCTCAATCCTCTAGCATCTCCTGAGGCTACATGTAGCTGGAACAGGATTATATACATCTAGGATAGGAGTGAGCAAGAGGTAATGAATATTTTCTATTTGAGGTTGTAATGACTCTTCTTACCTCTTTCCTCTATGAGGGAGCATCGATGTCCTCATGATCTTGAGGCTCTTTCACAGCTGATACAGACTGTTATAATTAAGATAGTGAACCCAGTTAGCTCAGAGAACAAAATTCCCCAAAGGGTTTTGTTGTCTATAAAGCAAATAGAGCACAACAACCCTGATATGACATTTTGGTCAATTCACTATCATCTCAGATTTCTGTTTCTATTCTTAGTCTTTATTTGCCATTTGGGGGTAAATATTCTGAAGAATATTAACTTGCATCTTACTCCTCAAACTAAGAAGTAAGCAATTGCATAATACAGGATGTGTCAGATAATTGATTCCAAAGGGAATTGCGAGGTTAGAATTGCAATTTCCTCTAAAGGAAATGCTTCTGTTTGGAATCTTTAGTAGCTGCGTCTATATTATTAAAAACCCTACTTATATTTGATGGACAAGTAATAATGTGGTCATCTATCTACAAGACAGCAGAGCTGAATATATTTCTAACTTTATAAATGATTTTTAAAAGCCCTACAGACAAATTTCATTAAAGCAAGGAAGAGAAATTTGGTAAATGGAGTCTTTGGATTAAGTTGATGAATAAATCTTGACTTTCTGCAAGTGCTAATAAGGATCTTGAAGGCAAAATAAATAAACATTTCCTGGGTGTTAAAAGCAGAATGCTTTGTGAATGCATACAATCAAACACTCCTAAAGCTGGCCAGGAATAGTACAAAATACCTTGTATGGCAGCCTCAGATAACAAAGCTCTATACAAGCTTCAACACCAAAAAAAAAACAAAGCAAAACAAAACAACAACAACAAAACAGAAAGAAAAGCATGGCAAGGAGCCTAGCTAAGCATTGCAAGTGTGTGGAACTGAGTTCTGCCCCCCAAAGGGACAACTTCTACAAAACATGGATTAATACATATTCTGATACAAAAAGATATTTCACATTAGACATATACATAGTTCCAAGAAAACCATTCATCTATTCACTCATTCATCATGTATGCCACACCATGCCCTCAGTGTCTGAGACTTTGGGAAATTGAGATGGAATAAAGAAAATACCATATCTATTTATTCATGAATAATGTTTAATGAAATCCACAGAAAAAACACCAGTTCAGTAATTTATTTACTTAACTGGTTAGAACACTCATCAACTAAAAAGAGTGCCTTTTCCCTCTGTGGGATACATTTTATAAAACATCATTTCATTGGTGTATCATGACTATGTTCTATGTATCAAATTTGGTGCCATCCCAACTGTTAATGTCTGAACACTAGAAGACTCTGCCTATCTAGTGGAGAGACCAGATAGTGCACAGAAGTCAAAGAAAAATCAGGGAATTATGTAAGTAAATTAAGTACTGATGGGTTGATTTTAATTTGAAATGATCAGCAATAGGGGAAAGTCTTTGGACAGTGGGCCAAATAAGTAAAATGTTAGCCTAAGCCCTCCATAGGCATAGCAGCCAGTAAGAAACCTGAATTATAGACCATGGTAGTTGTAAAAATCATAGAATAACTGATATTTCAACCAACATATGTCTTTAAATGCCAACTGCATTTTAAACTGAGCTAAATGCAAGATCCTGACATTAGAGGAACAAAAAGAGCTATTAGTCAGCTAATGTTTTCTACTAAGAATGATGTGAGAGGTATCATTCAATAAATTTAGGAAATGATTCAGAGGTAAGTCTCAGAACTCCTCAGAGGGTAAGTGAATAATTTACAATCTAACCCAGGGAAACATGTCCCAGAAATTCTGTTTCTTCTTGTTATGTGACTGTGTGTCAGGCCTATGGAGAAATAATTATAAAAATGAAATAAGTCCAATTCAAAAAGGAGGACTAAGGAAAAAGTCAGAAAGAGACTCACAGTAAGCTGGTGCAAGATATCCCAGGTTATCATAGGAAGTTAGGCACAAGTGCAGGAAATAAAGAATTCTAAGATAGAGAGGACAGGGTGTATTGTAATGACTAGGAGATGATATCCAAGACTGGAGATTTCTTCAAATATCATGTAGCAGAGGCAAACGTTGTATCAAAAAAAGAAAAAGGAGAAAAAAAGAAACATTTCTAAGCTTTTTCTATTTTAATTTATTTAGAAACAATCTTATTTTACATGTAAATCCCAGTTCCCTCTCCCTCCCATTCTCCCATCCTCCCATCTACTTCCAAGGAAGGCCTTCCATGGGGGATCATCAAAGTCTGTCACATCATTTGGGGGAGGGCCTAGAACCCCTCCATGTATCCCGCCATGGGGAATATGCTCCCAAAGTTCATTTGTGCACTAGGGATAAATAGTGGTTCCACTGTCAGAGTTCCCATAGACTGCCCAGGCCTCCTAGCTGGCACCCACATTCAGAGGACTTGGTTTGGTCCAATGCTGGTTGCCCAGCTTTATGAATGGGGTCCATGTGCTCTCCCTTAGTAAGGTCAGTTGTTTCTGTGAGTTTCTCCAGCACGGTCTTAACTTCTAAGCTTTTATCTTTTATTATTGTCTTGGAGGTTTTTCATTTTTGTTTGTTGTTGTTATGGTGGTGGTGGTAGTTCTTGTTTAGGTTTTTTTTTCTGCAGCTACAAAAGATGTAAGGGACTTGAGCAGAAAGTGAGCAGAGAGCTATACTCGAAGCAACAGAAAGAAACAAAATGAAGGATGGCTAATAATATGTGACATGCAAAAGCATCAGTATGTGAACCTCAGCTGGGTCAGCATCCTACTTGCTATTGAAAGCTGAGTCTATGAAAGTCACATCATCACAAGATGTCAAGAAGATATTCCTGTGATTTAAAAACCTGAGCCAGGTAGAGATGCTCACCTGAAATCTCAGCAATTATAAAGGAAACGCGGGGGATCTCAAGTTCTAGGCTACCTAGCGATACGCAAAAAAATTCAGAACTAAATTTCACAACATCAGAAGACCCTGTCTCAAAAAAGAAAACTTGCTAGATAATGCCTGTTAACATTTTACATTTTTGATTATTTCATTACTATCAATGCTTTGGAATGATCTGTTAAAATTAGTTCAACCATAAGTCACATGCTATTTATTTAAAATCCATTTTCAAAATTCCCTTAAAAGTAATTACAGGAAATTATCTGCCTTTGTATCTTTCTGGCTGACACATCTTATACATCATCCAATGTGTCACTTCTGATAAAGCCCTTGTAATCACATTACATGACAGGAAATTCCTGTCATAAATTGACATGATAACCTAATTTGGAAAATTCAGACAAATACAATTTATTTTAAACTTTAGTTCAAACACACTGACGAAATTCTGCAGAGCATAGAGAGATTGGTGTGACTTTGAAGAATACAACATTTTCTTCTTTCAAACTTGAAAATTATACTAGTTCCAGACTTTAGTAATAAGCTCATAAAATGTATTATGTGAAACATATATAACAAATATTAAACAGAAGGAATTATATAACTAGTGAGCTCAAATTTTACTTGGTTCACTTATTGGAATCTCTTTTAAGTATGGGGTATGAACAAGAATCTCTTTCCTGGCACAGGAGCTGAAGTTGATCAATGGAATCTATACTGAGTAAACCACTGGCATATAGTGGGGCAAAAAGGACAAGTTAAAATTGTATCTGTATAGATGCAGTTACTGAACTGTGAAATTCACAAGTATATGAATACCATAAAGTCACAAACTATAAACTCTTGCAGGCAAGGGGAAATGCTTTGTGCAACTTGACAGCTCAAAGGAAGAATGGGTAAGTATTCAGTTATTGTGGGAAATTGACATCTTGAGAATATATGGTAAGTCTATGTCCATTATACAATTATTCAGAGTTGAACAGACATGGGCAATGCATGTTGGATTCTTTTCCTAATATTGGCATAACACTCCAGTCCCTAGCTACTATCCAGGACCTTGGAATGACTAGGATGAACATGTAATTAAATTCTTAGCTCTTAGCTTTCACTTTCTGTGTTCAAGTGATGAGGAGAGCTACAAACTGAGTTCTAATAGAATGCATTACTTTGGCTCTGTACAGATCAGAAATCAGTTTGATCAAAATTACAGTTCTATTTGTTTAGTCTTAATTAAATTATATAAGAATAAAAGTTAATGAATTCTTCCTTAGAAAACATTAAAAAACTGTAGAGAGGCATTGATCCATTAGTGATAGTGTCACATGGTATAGGAATCTATTACAGCAAGTTCTCTGGAATGAATAATTGCATGATCTATTAGAGACATTTAAGAATCAAGACTACATTAAGCTGTAAAACCATAGCCTGTACATGTGGTAAATTTTTGTCTCAATATTTTATCATGTAGAATCATTTCACAGACTAGTGACGATATTCATTTAAATTCCAATTGCATTCAGTGCTACCAGTACAAGGCATTCATGTGACAGCCAAATGAACATGGCTTCTGTGCCCAGATGAAAGCAATGTACCAGCAGTGACAGCTCTGCCACGACTTCTCTCTTCCAACGACAGCTGTAGAAAGCACATTTATACTGACATTGATTATAAACCATGCTTTGATTTCAAAGCCATTAAGATGTGAAGAAGCCATGCATCGCCACATGATAAAAATGGTAATGAGACAGTTCAGTAAAGGTGGCTGAGGGCAAAATAATTATGGAGAGCCCACATGTTTTTCCTTTAAGTTATCAGTAAAAAAAATAGTGTAGTTTCTTTTGTGGAAGTTAGAAACTATGATAAATGATTGTACTACTATTATTATCTGGGCTGTTGTAGTAATAGCTTCATGAACATACACATATAGGCACATAAAACCCTTGCATTAAATATATTGAAAAACTTCCTTATGTGATAACAAGAGAAACAACAAGACCCAGCCTTGCCTTTTCCTGGGAATCATATTAAAGTCTAGATGTGAGTCACCCCCCTAATACTCAGGACATTCTAAGCAGAACATACATCACTCATGAGGGGGAAAATGAGATGTAAATAGTTCAGAACATCCCAGATATGTTAAAAGTTGAGACAAGGGTTTTACTGTGCATAAAGGTACCCAAATCTTTTGTTTTAGGTATTTAAGATTCATGCAAAATTTCCATTATTATGCTGCTTGAGTAAGAATATTTTATCTCTCAGGAGGTGTCCTGAAGTTGTATTCAGATGTTATAGTGGGAACTTATTACTCCTGCTTATTTAACATAGCTGAAGTTCTTAGGCATAAGAAAAAAACAAAATGAAATTGTATTCCAACATTTTTACATACTTCTCTGAAATTTACTAAACTATCAGAACTTTCTAAGTTCATGAACAGAATCAGGCAAGTGAAGATCTGTTGTGAATTTCTGTCCTCAAACTAAGAGACAGCTGTGATTCTACGTTTTACAAAGTGATCCAAGCTGGTTCATTTTTTTTAATCTCCAAGTCAAAATGTTGCCAAGGCAATGAAACAGCATTGTATGGCATGTACCCAGAAAATATAATCTTTAAGTGAAGGTAATACATAAATCCCAAAATATGATGAAATGATGATAAAAAATGTTAAAATTAAGTCCAAGAATTGCATGAATTTTTGTTTGAATAAGAAATACCGTTACATATTTTATACTAGTACTGTTGATTTCTATATTTTATTCCTCAAATTTATCTCATTTTCATAACATGGACTATTGAATTACATCTTAACAATTAGGTTCAAAAGTAAAGCCGTGTAAAGCAAATCATTGTGGAATTAGGCATGTAATAAAGAGTTGTCATTATCGTTTGAAGAGTGGGAGGGGCAAGCAAATGGGTTTTAGCCACATACGTGGAATTAATACACGTCTTACCCAAGTAAAGTCTTTTGCAAATTTACATTATCACATCCTGACTTGTTTTCACGTTTGGTATTCAATAGATTGATTGTAAGTCCATAGCTCTGATCAGTACCTAGACTCATCCTAACTAGAGTGCTATAACCACCTTTAAAAGTAGATATACACAGTTGTAATTTATTGTGCACATCACAAGTGGATCCTGATTCCATAAATGATGTCATAGAACTAGAATTTCTGAAGTATCCTTTGGGCCTCATGTCATGTCTTTCACACTCCACTGAGGTTGCTGCGTACTATATCACTTTAAGCAGATTTCTAGGAAGGGACTAAAAGTTCAAGGCCAGCATGAGATTATCTGAATGAGATAAAAATTAATAGAAAGTTTGTACACATGGGTGTATCTTGGATATTCCACCAGAAAGGGGGAATATAAGTAGATCATGAGTCTGTTGTGACAAGAGAGATGTTATAAAAATATTTGAGACTCTTGTCTTCATTGAATGAATGATGGGTTACTATGCTTTTGTGAGATGGCCAGTTTTATGTCAACTTGACACAAGCTAGAATTAGCTGAAAGAGGGAACCTCAATTGAAATAATGTCTCCATAAGATCTTAATGTATGGCATTTTCTATATACAATTGGTGCCATCCCTGGGCTGTGAGTTTAGTGTTTGATAACAAAGCAGTCTGAGCAAGCCATGATGAGAGAATCAGTAAAAGCAGCATTCCTCTGTGGCCTCAGAATCTGCTTTTGACTCCAGGTTCCTGTCCTACTTCAGTTTCTGTCCTGACTTCCTTTGGTGATGGACTATGATGTGGAAGTGTAAGTCAAATAAACCCTGTCTTCCATGCTTGCTTTTTGTTCTTGTGTTTAATAACAGCAATTGAAACCCTAACTAGGACACTATTGTACACTAAGTACTCTTTTATTTGAAGTTGATGGCATGCAATCCCATCTGAAGGGGACAGATATCTATGGTATTAAAATGTCATCCCAATTACTATATTTATTATATGAATCATTCATAAAAAGATTTTACTGATACATTGCTAGTAATTACATGGATGGAAACCAAATGCCTAGCCACTGAGGAAACACTCAGATTTCTGAAAACACACAAGGATAATTCTGAGACCACATTTTTATACTATGTACTGCAACTGTACAGTATTATTGCTCTTATACTAAATTTTGAATTTCTCCTAGAATGAAATTGAGTTAATTATTCATTTTTCATTAACGCTCATAAAATTAATATCTGCCCATAAACTAAACATTGAATGTTCAAACCTCTGTTATTTACATCATCAAACAGGGTAGGCACAAATGATCACTTACTAACTTCCTTCCTTCTAAAGAATAGAGAATGACTCATAAACATCAAAAAATAAGTCTAAATTTTTAAAATGAGATACATGTTAATGCAAAGGCAAACAAGAAGAGAAATACAGATGTAAGAAATATGTATAGGAAGCTATAAGTATGACTCAGTAGGTAGAGTGCTTGAGGCTTAAGCATGACCATCTGAATCCAAATCCCCAGCACCCACATGGAATCTGGGTGTTATGGAAGTAACCAGTAACCGAAAATCTGGGAACAGAAAGCAGAGGCAAGAAGGTTCCCGGAGCTGGCTAGCCTGACACTCTAGTTGAAATTCCAAGACCTAGGATCAGTAGTGGGAACCCTGTCTCAGAAATAATGTGGAGAGAAATAGAAATCAATGTCCCCTTCACTTCTGCCCCCCTCACTCACTTTCACAGGCCTGAATGAAGAAGTGCACATGGGCATCACACACACAAAAACGGCATGTCAGAAAGGTGGAAAGATGTAGCTGAAAGGGAGTTCTTCAATCGCTTTTACAACATAAACCTTAGTCAGCCATCAGGATCTTAAATTGTGTATAACACTGACCTATAATTGGGTTCCATCCACCCATAATACCTAAACTCTGGATTCTTTCTAATACTGAATGAAGACGTGAGGAGAACAAAAATCTATTCAGCATAGTCAGGAATCTACTGTTAGTTCTTAGTATCCTTCTTCCAAGTGTCTTAGTCAGCCTCTGTCTCCAATTTGATGAGATCTAGCATGACCTGTGAGACCTCTAGGCATGCCTGTGGAGGGTTGCTTTGACTGGGTTAACTGAGGCAGGAAGATTCACTTATTATGGGTGACATCGTGTTCTAGCCCAGAATTCTGAACTACACAAAAAGAAAGTGAGCAGAGCACAAGCATTGGCCGCTCTCTGCTTCTTTGCTGTGAGTGTAATAGGACCAGTTGCCTCAGTAACCTGCTCCAGTGGCTTTTCCACCGCAATGAATTATAAATTTGCACTGAGAGTCAAAATAATTAAGAAACACAAAAAGAAGCTAAGGCACCTAGCAACTTTAGATTCACATACCTGTATGAAACTGAAATTTCAGACAGCACATTAATGCTGCAAACACTGAGATAAAAAATACTTTTTGAAGAAAAAAACCTGATGACAAAGGAAAGAATTTATGTGAAAGTTACATGGTAAGTTTTCATGTTCTAAATGGGGCTCATTTTTGATACAGAACCTTCAAGTAAGTAAATGTTTGTTGCTTTGTTTTAGAGAAAGTAAAAGTAAAATATTTCTTTAAGTAATGTATATTTATGATATAGTAATACACACTTTTCCCTCTAGAGAGCAAACACTGAAATTGCGCACAAACACTATAGAAATACTTTTCTATCCTGACGTAAATGAAGTTCTGCCAGTTGAGGAAAAGGCCAGTAGAAATGAACATATATTGAAAATATAGCAGACATGAACAGTGATTCCAACAGGAATTCCAACATACCAAAGATAAAGAATGGTACCCCTTGTTTTCCAGACCACAAACTGTGGTCTACAGAGGTGGTTTTAGAATTGACCAATGAAAAGTCAAAGATGAAGTGAAGAGCGTTCCAGGAATAAAACCTCCTGAAATGATTAGAGGTAACTGAAGTTGTGTTTGGTCTTTGTAGTTTGAGATCATCAATTGATAGAAAACACACAACTTCTGTCTATTCTGTTACTTAGTATACAGAAGGAAGGATAAACTTGGTGCTTTCATAATTTCTCCTTGAAACTTGTTCTGTAAGAGAGTGCAGAGAGCAAGCAGTCAGATGTCACATAAATTATGAATCTCCATCATTGATGAGAACATTCCAACTTACACAGTGGGTGCTAGCAAATGTGCCCATTCTCCTTTCTGGAGGGAGAGATGTTATCTTCATGATATAATAAATTTCTGGAATGAAGATAAAAAAACTGTCTGTATCATGGTTATCTTAAATTCATGTTGCCCAAGGACATTTCCATAAAAGAAAAAATTTGAATCCCCCTGAGAGCTTTCTTGATGATTGTCTCTCCTCAAACTTATCACAGCTAAGTTCCTGACTGATGTTCTCTTTCAGCAATTCATCTCACCTGGGAGAGTCAGATCAATGTAAAAATGCGGTACAATGTCTTCACTGATTCTTCCATGAAGATGTAGGTGCTTCTCACATCTTAGCCACTGTGAAGAGTGTGATGGAGGGAACTTGAGGCAAAAGATAACTCTTTGTATGACATTGATTCTATTTTCTTTAATTATGTATCTAAAACTGTAATAGCTGAACCATACGGTAGTTCTGTACAATTTTGAGGAGTCTCCACAATGTTTTTCACTGACTGTAGAATATATCCAATTTTATTTACCAATTAAGACTTAAAGTGTAATAGGGTTGAATCCACTTGATTTATCTCATTTGTAATTCAACTAGCACAAGGTCAAAATTGCAGGAAAATGTAAAATCTCGTAGGAGATCCAGGTGGATGCACATCATAGAATATAAATTTGTGCTACAAATTTTGGTGAATTATACTAAAATAACATTTGATTTTCATAGGTAATGTATTCCACAATTGATTTGCTAATATAAGTGTGAAATCTCATGGAACAGAATTTTGTACATTTCTCATCACATCCCATGAAGTACCTCAACCTTATTTTAAACAGATTATCTATTATTAACTGTTCTTTGACTGAGATAAGAAGGCATATTCAGACTCAATCTACATATTCATTCTACAAGCATTTTTTCTAAGTTCTTATGATGTGCTAAGCACATTATAAATCATGTGAAAACCTCAAAAGCCTCCTTGGTTAGCATTTATAAATAGCCATAAAGGCAACAAAGGAAATAAGATACTTTATTTTAACTCTGTAAGGCATGCCTCAAAGACCTCAAACAATCCGCATTTTGTGTTCTTTATCTCAAGGGCAGCTTCATCATCTCTTGCATGCAATATGTTACTGTCTTTTTGGTGAACTATTTTTAATTAATACACATCATAGCCTATCCATACTAAAAAAAAGCATTGTAATGCCAGTTCATCACATTGAAAATCACATGCAAATATATTCACATGATATAACAAGTCTTGTCATCATGTGAACTTTCTTCATTCTATACCTTACCAACATCCCTCACTTTCCCAGTTTTGAAAATGTGATGTTCTGTTTCATGTCCCTGAGTATTTACAAATGTTTGCCTCTTCCCAGATTATTATACATCTTCCTTAACACTGATAGACTTCTTTTTATCACTACTAAGACAGTTGAAAATGCTATTTTTCTTGACTCTTTTTAGAAATTATCTGAAATAGATGATGCATTTTCATGTACATTGGACTGTATATATTGTTTTGTTTTCACATAATTTGAGAAACTGTAGCTTCTTTTCCCAAATTTTATTAGAATGCACATATAAAACTCACTGCTTTTACATGTTCTGCTATTAAATGCATTCATGCTATCCAGACACCAGATACTGTTTTCCATCTCTATATCTCATTTCTACTTATTAATTGAAAATTTATCCACTAAACATTTTTCCATTCTACATTTAGCTTGTTTTGTTTGTACTAAGTACCTTATGCAAATAGAATCATATGATAATTGTCTTTCTCTGACTTATTTATTTCACTTGAGATGATACTGTAGATGGATGGTGTTGGCACCCTCCTTTAATCCCAGCACTTGGGAGGCAGAGGCAGGTGGCTCACTGTGAGTTCAAGACTAACCTAGGACAGACTCCAAAATCCACAGAGAAACCCTGTCTCAAAAAAAAAGAAATAAATGGTATTGTG